GGTGGATGTTGTGTTGGCACTAGCCAAAATACAGATGGTCCTTTCTGTTTTGGAAGCTTTCCTTTACAGTTAATAGAACTTTGTTATCGACATTTCAGTACATTAATATTAGGTACTTTAGAACAGTAACATGGTCACTCTACTTACCTAGAATGATTTTGGTTCCCAGCACACCTTCATTCAGTGACAATAGATGAAGAGACACAAACTCCACTACCATCTGAAGAGAGAGAAGTTCTATTGAACCTTAGGGCACATCCAGTCTCTGCTACACTTGGTGTATTTGATGAGTAAGTCATGGTAGCCTGTACAGTCAAACAAGTCTTTCAACAAGATGCATTTTCTACTGAAGACAACAGTGTTATGTCTTGACTTAATTGTGAAATCCAGCAAACATTGATTTCTTTTTTCCCTTGTAGCACAGTATTGTTTGCTGATCCAACAGATGAAGAGGAAAATCTAGTGACTGGAATTGTGACAGTAGTCATCACAGATGATGATAAAATTGCAGCAGTTCATAAACCAGGTAACATGTGCTTTGGTGATCTGACAATCTTGGGGCAGGCAAAAAAAATACTTTTACCTTTTGACACAGTTCAATTGCAACAACAACAATAGCAACCATTTTGTAAGCTAAACCTATGTTCAGAAGCAGTTTCAGTCATTGAAGTGATGGTGGTTGGGGGAGAATTCTTCATAACACTGTTTTTTTTTTTCTTCAAGGTGGATCACCCCTAGTGGATGATAAACTACAGGAATGCTTCAAAGTGGCAGTGAAAAGAGCAAAAGAAGTCAGAGATCTTGTACAAACAGCTTGTATAAATGTTGACAGATGATGCGACATTAAAAAATATTCTCTACATACGTAACAAGGACTTCATTCTTTGATTCAAACATTGGTAGATTTTGACAAAAAAAAGTCCAAGATTGTACATTAGTGTCTAAAGTTGCATGCTGGTGTCCAAATTTGGACGGAGGTGTCTGAACTCCAAAAGTGTTTGAAATTGGACAGTAGTGTCTGAAAGGGGATGGAAGTCTCTGAAATCCAACAAAACAGTACAACATTGTTCAGAACCATTTATCTGCGGATGTTAGTACCCTTTCCAGCATTTTTGGGTCTAACAATCAACTAGTTTTCACTGGAAACAGTATAAGAGATCGCAAACTTTACTCTTGTTTTCCAGTAATAAACTCCATGATGGGGAAGGATTATGACTTTATTTTACCAATATTATTGTAGTATGACTCTTGGATTAAATATAATGCTGTCATTAAGAAAAGAGGGATGAGTCAGATACCAGAGGAGGATGTGCACTCTTTTGCACTATTTCAATTTAATATAGACATATACATCTCAGCCAGGCTACATCAATTATTGAATCTTGCTGACACAAATATATTACACTATATTTTGACAATAAAAACTAACTACAGATACCAGTGAAGAGCAATTTCCAAAGCATCTTTATACAAGCTTGTAAAAAGTCTTAATTATACAATTTAAACCATGATAAATACTGTTGCACAAGTTACTTATTTTGCGATCTTCGTCGCTGTGCTGGGGATCTTCCAGGTGTTCTGGCTGTTGTTTGTGCTCCTTGTGTTTGTTGAGTTACTTTGACTGTTGTGACTGGTTTTCCTTGGATCTTGGAAAAGGAAAAGATGAGTTATAATTAGAAATACTGCAAATGATTGAATAATCTAATTTCTTGCACTTCCTGACTGCAAAGTGGGATGGGGAGGCAAAGGAAAGAAGAGGTCTACAAGAGTGGAGGGTTTCTTAGAGAGGAGGATGTACTAGAGTGGGAGGCTTATCAAAGCAAGACACTCCTGAATGGGAACTTATTGGAGAGGGGAATTATAAGAAAAGGGGAAGTGTTAGAAGCTTGTTCTTAGAGAAGGAGACTCATTATAAATGGGAACTTTTTGGAGAAGGAGATGTACTTCTGAGGGGATTTATTAGAGAAGAGGTTCAATAGAGAGTAGGACTCGTTAGTGAAAGGAACATTTGAAGGAGAGCATAACAGAGAGGGAGAACTATCAGAGCTGGTGCTTAAGAGGGGGGCTTATTTGAAAAGGGAACCAATTAGAGAGGGGTACTTTTTAAGAGGAGGGCTCATAAGAGAAGGGAACGAGAAAGATAGAAAAAAGATGGAGGGGGAGAGTCATGACAAACTAAGGACTACAGTACAATGCAATTTTTTTTCTCTCGGTCAATTCTTTCAGGGACTGATTTTGTTGTTGTTCTTCATATTTTCAACGCAAGTGCAAATGATACCTACCTGTTGTAAACCTTGCACTACTTGAGCTTGCTGTGTGTTTATTTGGACAGGGGTTGCTCCTCTTGGTGACTGCACAATGGTGGGCTGTATCTGGGTGGGGCCACCTTGCTGTGGGAACTGCACCATTCGTACCTGAAATGGCTGCTGCTGAAGTTGTGTTCCAATTGGTACCAAAGGTTGCAGGTTTGTAGTGGTTCGGTTGACGGTGGATGTTAGTGCAGCTATGGCTGTTGGTGATGTTCCAGCTCCTAGTGGGAAATTGATGGTTATGTTCAGTTCCTTGAAGCCATGATTAAGAAACAATATACAGTGGATAACAAACTGCACTCTAAACCAATTACACACTGAAGTAAGGCAAAACTAAAGCTGTCCCTTTCAAGGATCGATTGCTCAATTACATGAAGCTAATTTTAAAAAAAATACCTGCATTGATCTTCCTTTGCTGTTGTTGTTGTGGACGAATGGGTCTTGTATTAAGAGTAACTGTAGCCATCCCTGAGGGAGGGGAGAGAGGTGTGTTTGGTAGAATAGGCTGTGGTTGGCCAGCAGGGGTACCCTGAGGAGATGTTTTTGCCTGTATCTGAGCATTGATGGTTGCTCCAGTTACTGACTGAATGTGGGTTATTGGAACCAAGTTACCAGGAATCTGAGGATGAGAAGGAATACTTTTAGAAGTTGTGAATATTGAATATTGCTTTTCTACTCTAGTCAGGGGGAAAGTGCTATGCAGAATTTTAGAGGTTAATTGACAAAACTATAGATCCAATGAACAGAAGTTCTAATCTTAAATTTGTGATCAAACTACATACAGTAAAAGTTGTAGATGGAGATCTTGTCTGATGGACTATCTGAGCTTGTTGTGTTTGGATGTTTGTGGTGCCCTGTTAAAAGAAGAATGATATCAAATGAGTTAAAAGGCAGAGGTTTTCCACATCTCAGAAATGGCTTACTTAGCTTCAGTGCTGACTTAACCTACTTGGCATTACCTGTAGTAGGGTGAGAGATGTCCCTGGTGCAGGTTGTAAGGTCTGATTGGCTGATTTCAAGCCTGTCGCAATGAACTGTGTTGGTAAAGGACCTGATGCTATGGCTACACTTTTGGAAACTGGAACAATGGGCGTGGCACCTGCTACTGTAACAGTTGCTCCAGCTGGGACAGTGACACTCATTCCTCCAGGACCAACAACTGGCTAATTGGATCAAATAAAACTGTTTTACGGCCAAACATTGCATTTGATAAATTTACACCTTAACTGACAGAGCTTGGAATCTAGACTCTTCATCAGATAACAATTCTTTGTATGGAGGTCATTTTGCTGACCAATTGTTTTGCTTACGACCAGCGCACTAACATCTTAAGTTGTTTCCTTAACATCTCAGGTCATTTTTCTACCATGTCATAGGTTGTTCTGCTAACCCTTTATGTAATTTCACTGATGTCTCTTTCTACTTTTGTTTTCTTCAAACTAGCAACAAATAAAACGTTGTACCATAAACCCATGGGTATGATTGGCTACAAACGAACCAGGATCAACTGGTTGAAGTGGTCATTAGTGAAACGACTCACAGGTGATATGACCTGATACTTTCTCTTCACCTAAGAGCATAAATGGAAACCAATGAACTGTCAGGGGAGCTTTGCAAAATGCTGAAGGGTGATGTGCAAAGAAATAGCAATCTGCTCAGTGGACGAAGCAGTAGACCTGGTTGCATATCACAACACAAACCAGGACAGGTTGCCACAGCATGGGCCACTTGTCTCAAGTTAAGAAGATGTTTTTTCATATCATAAAGTCACCTGCATGTAGGCTCCCACAACTCCTGTGTACCCCCCACTAGGTGTGGTCGGTGACTGTAGTGAGGTAGCAGTGTCTGGATGAGAAATCCTTCTCCCTGTTGTTGGAACAGATTTGACAATGGAGGAAACAGGAACAGGTTTTACACTTGAGACTTGAAGTGTTGTTCCTGGCTGTGCTGTCGAAATGTACCGTGTGACTGTGCCTTAAAAGTACAAATTCCAATCAGTAACTGTAATCCAGATAAAACAAGTCAACAGACTGTAATGGGTAAAGAAATGATTGTTAAAGGTGGGCTGCAATAAGAGAAATTGCATAAAAGAAACCTGGACAATCCAGGCTTAAACACAAACCCTGATTTTTTTCACACTTCTTCTCTGCAATTTCTCCAGATGCAGATCACCTACAAAGATCATTTCTTTGCTCGTTTGTCCTCAGCAGGTCCAAATATGATCATAATATGCCATAACACCCTGTTTTCATCTAAAAGTAGCCCCCTTGCATTCAAAAAGCAAATGTTGGGCATACAACTTAATAAATACCTGCTGTAGCAATCTTAGTTGTTCCACTAAGGGGCACACCAGTCCCACTTGGAACTGTGCCAACTACTGTTCCTTGCTGCTGAAACATTGCTAGCTTCTGTCCATAAGTGCGGACATTAGAAAGACTTTGTACAACAGGTACTTGAGACACTGCAGAGTTACCAGGTAACGTGGTGTGTGACCCTATTCCCAAATTATTACTCTGAATTACAGTCACAGTGTTTGTGGCTGTGGGTAGAGGTATTGCCACCTTGCCCTGTGTCTGGTCTTGTATATTTGGATTTCCAGAAACAGGAACAACAGTGGCTGTTGATGTCTGATTGGGATTATGTGCATGTGATGCCTGTTGACTGGCAGCAGCTGCTGCAGCTTGTGCCACCTGGTGTTGGCCAGGAATGTAGGTACAAATCTTCACAGACTTGCGCCCCTCCTCAGTGTACAAGTCTTGGAACTGCTGAAGATACCTGAGTGATAAGTTGAAGTAAAATCTCTAGCATATCCAAGTTCAGTTACTATATGGTAAGTTACAACTCTCTTTAAGTCAACAAGGTGATTAACAATCAAATTCTCCTCACAATGTCAATACATAATACAGCAAACTGGCAAAGAGAATACAAAAACAAATCATGAACAAGTAACCATTCTTTCCTTGTAAGGGATGCCAGTACATTTAAAGGTAATCCACATATACAATACTAGTTTTTAACCCTTTACTGGTAACCCATTTAAAATCCTCATGCAGAGATACACCATAAGAGTTGAGCTTCTTGCCCAAGAACACAATACAAAGGGTCAGCCAAGTTTCAAACACCACTACTCATATGGTGGTCTGTAGGTTTTCACTACATCTGTGCAGTTTGGAAAGCTGTAAAAACTCTAGAGCAAAAATTTATCTTTCAAATCAGCACTAATGTACCTAAAGTACTAGTGAACACTTTTCATTAAACCAATTCCTTGTTGTGTTTTTCACCTCATCATGTTCCCACTTACCTTCCCTTCCTTCCCTCTCCTTCCTTCCCTTCCCTTCCTTCCCTTCCTTCCCTTCCCTTCCCTTCCCTCCCTTCCCTTCCTTCCCTTCCCTTCCCTTCCCTTCATTCCCTTCCCTTCCCTTCCCTTCCCTTCCTTTCCTTCCCTTCCCTTCCCTTCCCTTCCCTTCCCTTCCCACCTATTCCATGGCTTCAGCTTCCTGTATTTCCTACATTTCCTCAACTTACTCTGACAAAGGGCTAAGGCCCAAAATGTCAACTTAAGGAACTCTCTCCAGTGGTTAATGTACATCATCAAATCAGCTGATAAAACCCAATTAACTTGCTTAATCTGAAGTCAAGTATGCAACTGCTACCCACTAAGAAACCATGTCTTCTTTGATTGAGTCATTTCTTGCTCATGTTACAATACCATCAGCACTCATTGAAATAAAGAGATTACATAACAGACCCACATTAACCACTCACTTTTGAGCTCCAAGTTTACTTCCCAGAAAAAAGTGACAGGCCTTTCCTGCCTTGTTGGATGCTGAAGTGTTTGTGTTTGGAACAGCAGGAGCCCCTTGTGTATTGCTTGTATCTTCTTCCAGGTATAGTTCACCTAAGTATTGCAAGTCTGTTGGTCTCCGTCGAATAGTCACACGGCAGAAGTAATTCCTGTTATTGGTCTTTTCTCCTTCTAGTGTGACTTCCTGAACCTTTTCTGGTGTGTTATCAGCTGTCAGCTTTGGACGTTCAATTATTTTGGAAAACAAGTCAACCTACAAAAAATATTTAAGTTGTAAGGTGTGGCACATCCACCAAATACAGTGATCAAAAGTAATCCAGGACTCCTTTTAGTTTTGCTTCACTTTGGTCTGTAATTGGTCTAGAAAACTTGCGTCATGCTCTAAACTAATTAGACTACAAACAAAAACCAATTGTGACTTGGTTGCCTGCCATTTTCAGCAATTTTAGTAATTTGCCTATTTTAACTTTGAATCCTCAATAACTAGTGAGCCAGCAAAGCAGTTAATATTTGTTATGATTGACTGTTGTGATTACTTTTCTCTACATGTTAAAACAAATCTAAACTCAAAGTGCCCCATTCAGCCATAGTAGAAGCACTGGTAGTAAATGTTGTGCTTTAGTTGCATGAATGCCTGCAATTTGTGGACAATTTTGGCAAATCATTTCTACAAATGTAAGAGTTCCATCAGGGTGAAAATATAAGTACACACTTGTTGGATGAGGTTCTTAATAGCTATGAGGATCACTGTTCCTAGGATGACTTCTTGGTTTGGTCAGTACTTTGGCCACTTATTGATTGACAACATTTCCCACTTACATCAACCCTTGCAGGTGGTGAGAGGTGAATTGGCTTTTGTCTCCATGTGTCAGTTGTCTGTGGTGTCTTTGCAAGACGAAGATTGACAGGTGGCTGTGGCTTCTTGTAGTGTGACAGGAAATCGAGAACTTTCAGGTAAGAGGGAGCATTACACAGGGACACCAGTCCTGCTCTGTTATAGAATGCTTGGGAGTGTCTTCTTATGCTCCTGAAATATATCAAGCAAGGGTCAGGTGAGGCCTGAAGTCAGCCTCTCTGCACTCTTAGCTGACTCTGTTTTGCCTGCTACATTGCAGCAGAAGTCATCAATTTGTTTTGGGTAGTCATGTGGCCAGCTCATCTGCCCTTAAAACCTTGACCTATTGCCAAATCCTCTAATAAACATTTGCCAGCCAGATCTTTTCTTTTAGTGACTTAACTTTCAATTGTGGTGATCTCTTGAAAATTTTATGTTGCTCAATGATAACTTGATTGGTGAAAGTTGAGCTTGGAATCCTTCATTCTGGTGATAACAAAGGCTATTTGTTTTGGGTGTCCACAGTTGTTAGAGGCTATTTTCCCACAAAGTTGTAATTACAGACAACTAGAACATTTTCAAGCAGAGAAATGATCCCCACAGGTGGACTGCCAAGCAATGGCAGTAAAGAGGTTGGAAAAAAATCCAGGCTTTGATGAGAATCCCAGCTGTGTCTTCTAGTAGGTGTTACTACCAAATGAGCTACAAAGCCACCCACGAGCATGGATTGGAAACCTGTTGAAGCCTGTCACAAGTGTGATCAGACAGGTAAATCCCCTATTTGAAGTTTTCTTTCTTAAGCTTCTTATTGCTTTTCTGCTTTACCATGTGTTGATGGTGATTGCAGAAATCACTTATTAGTAGTTCTTCTCTATAATAGGGTTAAAATGTAAACACCCATTTATAATTGTTTGAAATCAGTTGAGGGGGTTTCTTACACATACCTTCTAATGCCACATGTATGGAACTTGTTCCTGTTGAACTGGAGTTGATTTGCAACTTGTGCAACTTCTATTGAAGGGTCAAGACACAAAGGGCCTTCTGTTGCTAACAGCAACTGGGATTCCAATACCAACTTACTCTCTTCGGTCCAGTTAGGTGACTCACGAGTCATAGCATTTATGTCACAAACAAGTGTCTGTATGAGGAAGAAATAAAGGTCACTGCTGTTAGGGCTATCTTGAAGGGTTGCGGAGTCATTCATGACTTGATATCTCTTTGTCCTTCTATATTTTTAATTCTTAAATAACAACCAAGTAGCACTCAATGACCATTGCAAAAATCAGTGACACTGAGGAACAGAAAATGCTTTGTATGCTTCTTTAACTCTTTAACTCCCAGAAGTGATTAACATGTACCTTCTCCCTATAAAATCCATACATTATCCAGCAAGCAGGTAATGAGAATACTCAAACTTATCAGGAAGAAGTTGTTACCTTGATTTATCATCAAATTCTTGTAACTAATTTACAAGGAAAAAGATTGCATTAAGAAGGGAGAATTAACAATCAGATCTTGGGAGTTTAAGGGTTCAGTCCTTTCCTCTTTGATTTTCCCTTGGAAAAAAAGCTAACTCACACTGAAAAAATCTATGACTTAGACTTGCAGTCTTTGGTAGTCAGAAACTCTGAATTTGCTCTATACTTGCTTTTGGTTCACCAAAGCTACCAGAAAGCTGGAGAAAAAATAAGCAGTTTTTGCCTTTGAAACAAAAAAACAAAGTAATTTTGTGTACCTGGTAAGTTGGACGAAGTAAGACATAGTTGCTGTCATATGAGTTGCCTGTGGGACTGTGGCGGTAGTCTCGCACTTCAACTATGACACAACCACTATAAAAAATATTTGCCTGAAAGAGTAGAGAGAAGTTTTTTTACATAAGAATGACTTTTTCTTAATCCAGACTGTTATCTCTTGTGCAAAACTAATTTTTTTCTCTCTCACTGAAATTCCAAGCCATCTCCGCATTTACTTGTACCATTTCACACTTTTCTTTTTGTATGAGCAGGGTAAACAAGACAAAGGAAAATATAATTCTTTAGCACAATTGTGGGAAATGGGATGATAATTGCAGCAGATAAAAAAAAAAAGAATCTCATCCTTCAAATTTCAAACTCTGTTGTAATTTAGACTTAACTATTACGGCTGTTTTAGTACTGGATTCAGTGCAACCATACCTGAGATTTTTCTAACAGATCAATCAGGACTGGAGGTAGCTAAAACAACACCAAACAAAGACCTCATCAGAATATTTGTCTAAGCTGCTTTATTGAGCATATAAACTGCTGATATTTCTTCTTTAAAAAAACTATAATTAGAAAGCATTAGACAATCTTAATTTTCAGACATTAAGCTGTCTGTGGTTTATAAAGATTCTGAAAAATTTACCAGCATGAAAACTGAAAGGCAAAACTTCATTTTTAAATCTAGAAGCAGTTAGACTTGGCTCTTCCTTAGCTTGACCAAGATTATACATGTGAGAAAGGAGGGGTGAAGGGCATGTCCAAGAAGGGGTGTGAAGGGGAAGTTGTAGAAGTGATTAGGGAGGAGGAAAAAAGTTACCAGCCCTTAAGTTGAGGCAATTGAGAGGTGCAGTAAACAAAATAGGAATCTCCTATACCTCTTGGGCATCAAGGTAATCCAAGAATTCAGACTCCTGTTGTTAAAAAGAAAAAAAATTAAGGACAATCTTTAACATAAAAAGAGGAACTAAATAATTGAAATCTCATTCAAAATGAACTTGACTAACTTCATAAGGCAGCTTCACAGTTTCTGAATCTGAGGAAATTGAGAGAAATACAGACTTGATTAGATTACTTTCACATGCCAAAAATATTATCAATTGCCTTCTTCCACTAACAGCTACATGTATCTCATAAGTGAACACAGGCAAACTGTCTGGGAAAGCTGACAAATGCCCAAAGGTAACCTGCAAAGGACTGATATCAAATCAAGGCCAGCAGAAGTGGCAGAATAAGCACAAGCTGGATGGGTAGGATATTTGATTGGAGTACAGACTATGGGTCCCATAACCATAACCATAATATGTATGCACTTACCTGCACCATTCTTGCCTTTAAGCATTAAAGAGTAGCCTTCACCCCTGGGGTACAGGTTTACAACAAGGGTTGAAAGATTGTCTTGAAGAACAACTTTCTCCAGCAGCCGTACTCCATGACAAAAACGCTAATAGCATGGGAAATGAAAAACCAAAGTTGGAGTGGATATAAAACAAATCATTCCAATCATAAGATGTTTGGATCACCTTCCACGATTCAAAATCAAAATAAACCTATCCTTCTAAAAGGTATTAACCCTTTCACTCTTAAAATCTTATTACCAATTCTCCTTACTATCTACCATAAAATTCCTATCATGTTAGTTTTGAGAATTTGGTATTGGATCAACTAATAATTCCCTACTTTATATTTTTCTCTATTCTCATCACTTGTCTGCTTGATACTGTACTAATACAGTAAGGAGAAATTCTGTCTTAGTCACTCATAAGAGTTATAGGGTTAACATATTTTAAATGACAAAGTGGTCTGAAAAGAGATGTTGACATGCATTTTTTTCACAAAATTAACTCCATATACGCTGCAAGAATGCATTTATATCAGCCTTTTAAAAAGCTAGACAATAGAAGTGCCAGATTTCACATACAAATTTTCTCTCACCACAAAAACAAAGTGGGAAATTTTATTGGGCAAGCTCACCCTAACTAGGGGGTCACTTCTTCCATCTACAGTTCAGCCTAATTAAAGAATCTTAGCTATCCTTGCTCCACAAACACACAACCAACATCCAATTTCCAGGCCAATATCACAAAGCATGACCCCATATTTTGCCAACAATCAAACATGAAATGGGAATCTATACAACAGTTTCTAAAATGCCATTAACACTTCAGTTGTCCCCAAAAAAAAAAAAAAAAAAAAAAAAAAAACTTTACCCTAGCAGGTCTCTTGTTTGATAAAGATCACTGTCTGAGCAACTATATTTTTGATGTAAATTTTACATCCAAGAGGGACAAAGCAACTACCATTGTTAATCAAAACAGAGTGTGTGTGACCTCCTCTCATTTTCTCCAATCCCTGCTATCCACTACCAAACACAACATGTGCATGTACATTCAGATGGATCCACTCTGCAACAAATAGAGCCCCCATTCAGACTGCCACCTTTTGGTTGCCATGGTAACTAATAACATTTTGGTGTAGTAAAAGTCGCAGATTCGGCGACAAGTGTTGGGTGGTTGTTTACCATTCTGTAACCTTCTGTTAGTGCTCATGTTCTGAAGTGCGATAAATATTTGGCGGGAAAAATTGAGTGCAATATTGCATAAAATATGTCTTTTCTGGCAACAAAAATTTTTTTCTGACAACTACTTACTGATTTTCGGTTTGGAAATGGAACTTTACAAAAAATGTTTAGATTAGGGCACTGATTGCAGGTTTTTACACTAAGCCTTATAGAGTTTAAACAAACAAACAAAAAAAAGCAGAAAAAGAAAGAAAACACCTCCCACTTACAACAGATGCAAATATTTTCACAATCTTGCAAAAAAGGCTCTAATGCATACACAAAAGACTAATCTTGTGAGATGCCATTCATGGTAAACATACTGTTATTCTATACTATTCTCTATACTTTTTCTCCTGACCTTTGTAACTCCAAGCTGCCAGATACTAGTGAAGTGTTCAAACAACAACAACATAGCAAATTAGTCAACAAGGACTGCTTAACTATTGCGACCTCATGCAGTATCCACTACAACAACAACAAGAGGCCCATAACAAGATATAATTTGTAGTATTCGGTTGGGTCGAAGACAAATTGCAAATACATCTCTTTAAGATACCACTCAGCTATGTTCCTATTCCAGTGACATATCAAATACAAACACTACCATAAGAAATATCCTACAGCCTTAAATGCATAGGTGCATGTCCCATTTGCCTCATCAGCTGTTGACAGCCTGTGTTATTTCCACACTCCAGCATGTGGCCATTTTGAGAGTTTGGTTTTATAACTGAGTTGATAATGTATATCAGTAATAGTAAAGAGTTTCTAAAGCTGAGCATTAGCCCTTGTCAGGGCAAATATCTAATTTCTCTCACCATGGGCTAATTGTACTAAAAATGTCAGCCTTAGAGACTCTATGTTGCTGCTAATTTACAACATCGACTCAGTTGATAAAACCAAATTGACTTGTTATACTTCCCCGCTGATGCAGCCTCACAGTTTCTTAGAAATTCACCCCTTTTATTCATTGTGGCAATTTTCATTTGGTTCCCATGGCAAGTTTAAAAAATTATCATCAATAAAATTGTTGCAAGAGTAACCATTTTGAGCACCTGAATTACTTAGTGATTGGGGTCTTAAAAGGGAGATTAACATTTACATTCATAATCACCACTGATATTCTGACATTTTCTTTTACATGAAATTTCCCCTTTCACAAAGTTGCTGTCTCCAAAGACAAGCAGTGTGGTTAGCAGTATAGTGCATGGTGTTATATTGCCCATTTATAACCTCTGACCACTGAAATTTTTTCAACAACCATTCCATGACTTCAGACTCTGAAAGGTCTGATACCCTCTGATGCCTTGATACCCTCTACTTTGATACATTAAACATAACAGCCAGGTTTTCAGGAAAAGGTTTTTAACTCCTCTAGTAGGTCTTGCAGCTCAGTTTTTGTAAACTGAGGTATTTTTGGTAAGGAATATATTGACGAGAGTTCATCCTGTTCAAGGAAACCCTTCCGCCCTTTGTATTCTACTTTTATGGAAATTGTTCGACAAAAATGTTGACTAAATTTTCATCTTGGCTGGAAATCCTTAGGGTTGCACAAGAATTAGCATGATCATAAACTCATACACCAAGTTCCAAGTTAAGGGTTTTTCAAAGCCACCATCTAATAACCAAAAAGCAGAAAATGGTCACCAGAAATGGAACCTTTGTGCAATATTAGGAGTTAGTTTACTGCCAAGCACAATACTTGTCTTTGTAACAAGCAATATGGCGGTGATATGGCTGGGAATTGTCTTGAAGGTTCGCGAAACATCTCAAGACAAAAGAGGAGGAAGAGGCTGCAGAGTAGTACTACTAATATAATTTTCAATTGTTGAACTTACTTTCACTTAAGATAATCAAGATTCAAGAGCATAAACATTAACAGATTGCTACCTGACCCCCCAACCTGGGTTGCCAACTTAGCCCCTTTCTTATAATATATTATGTCATTGTTTATCTCACTTTAACTTAAGATCATAGAAATTAAAGAACAAAAACATTATACTGTGATGCATGACCGCCCAACACAGGTCGCCAATTTGGCGACTTTTGCCGAGAGTTGAGTCTACTTCGTAACAGACCTCGCTCGCCATGGAGTCTCTGTGGCTCAGCGGTAGAGCATCGGAGCGCAGAATCCGAAGGTCTGAG